TTTGAAATTAGCATCTTCAACTATCTAATGTTCTTGTTTTTCGTGTTATAAACATGTTTTGATAACAATTATTTCATTTCTAGGTGTTTTCTACAAATTTCACTGTAATATGGCTGACCGATGAAGCAAAATATAGAATGAAAAAAAAAAAACTTTCAGTTGTGCTTTCAACATCCTATTCACGTTATGTAGAAGAGACAAGTATGATAATCGAAAAAGGTTGAAATTCAATTTGTTTTGGTAAAAATGTGATGTTTTCTAAATTGGGGAATTTTATACAGATTTTTTTGTGCAATTCAATTTATTGCAAACAGCTTTTTCTAAGAGTCAATGAGTTCTTAAGAAGTAGAATGTAAAGATTCACCATAAATTTTCAACCGCACAAACATTTTTGAGTACGGAATCTCAGTTTATACACTTTATTCGAACAATACAATTTATAATGATGATGGAAAAATGAGCATATGTCATTCGTTGGACGGATTGAATCCATTTAGAACATCTTCTAAGCAGTAGTTGCGTTATAGCAAATATATTATATTAACTATATGATCCACTCTTTCGCTTAGCTGGCGAACCAAATGTTTAGCGATGAAAGCACCTCTGATAGCCATGTATTTGTTTATCATCACGAGGGTAAACCAAATGAAAATTTGTTTAATATTTCAAATGAATGTATTTCAGCATTTTATTTTATTTGATGACCACAGTGACATGTCAGACAAATTTTAAAGTAATATACACAATGTAATTAATGAAAATAATTTGACTCTTACTTTTGTAATAAGTGCTGTATTCGCACCCCTCGATTGTAATTGAATGATTTTTACTGACCTTTTTCCACGCTAGATGGTGCGTGAAGCAATATTTTACGGGTCACCATTGCAACATTTGGAAAAGGCATGAATTGATCATATTGGTAATATGATATATTTGGTTATAGTCATACATTAGTTAAGCAAGTCAATCATATATAACTTGACATATGTTATATATAGATCTCACATCATGCGCTTTTTTGGCTATAAATGAGTTGAATATAAGTGACTAGATGTAAATTTTCACAGCTGAGATTGTCATATATAAGTTATGTAAACCAGTTTATGACAAGCTGAGTTGCTTGGGTAGAGTGGCACCTTGCCCAGGATTTTTCCAATTTGGTAAGTTAGGCTACCTGGCACCGAAAGTGCATAAAAGGACACTCCCAAATCCTCATGTACTGGTACTGTTCGACGGTAAAATTCATGACTTTTCATTGAAAATTAAATATACACTGGAGTCGCTTTTTACGCGGGTGATACGTCCCGCGTAAAAAAAATCCGCGTAAAAAAAAACCGCGTAAATTCCGGAATCCGCGTAGAAAAAAACCGCGTAAATTCTGAAATCCGCGTAAAAAAAAACCAAAATCCGCGTAAAAAAAAACCGCGTAAATTCCGGAATCCGCGTAAAAAAAAACCGCGTAAATTCCGAAATCCGCGTAAAAAAAAACCGCGTAAAAAAAACCGTGTAAAAAAAAACCGCGTAAAACGCGACTCCAGTGTATATCATTCCATGGACCATAAGGTTACATCCGAATACCAAGAACCAGTTCCGGTAGAGCTTAAAAAGGTCACTTCCTAAACTTCATGTACTGGTATTGTCCGATAGCTCAAAATTTATTATTTTTCATCGTGTAGTAAATAGACATAATCTTCGAGTTTTACACTAGTAGACAATATAATGATTTCTGGTTTTCGACTATCTGGAATGCCCGTTGGAAATGGCCGATTTCTGTTTGCATTAAAAATCTATCAAAAAAAAAAAAATAATTATAATTTTGTTTGTTTAATAGAGCTTATACTATTAACACTCCAAACACGATGCCTCCGGTAAAATGTGTAACGGCTAATTGGCAATGTTTAAAAAGTTATTGCTGAGGAATTTATCAATAGGTTTTTAATCGATTGATAGCGAATAAATGTTCAAAGTCTGTAGTTTTAAGTGGTGCCAATATAATTAAAATTCGCCAATAAATAGCTAAGCTATGATTTTCCGAAAATTGTACCAGAGGTATCGTATTCGAAGTGTTGAGTTGTTTGCCCAAAATGATACGTGGCCTTTGATAATCGTTGCCATAAAAGATGTAGCTCTAATCATCAAAAGGTCAGCAATCAAAAAGGTAAAAGGTATGAATCAATCACATGTCTTAAAAGAAATTAAAAAAAAAATCCAAGCAGCACACAATCCTAAATTTATTACATTATATGTTAGTTGAGTTTCCTATCATCCTCCACAGAGAATGATATGAGTGGGACATGCAAAAAATGCAATGATTTTCTATCGTTTTTATTTGGTGCATGTATTTGTATTTGATTGTTTTTTTTTTTTTTTTGCGCCTATTTGGGGCCCTGTGGTATCGGATGTAACCATATCCACCTGTGTGTTCGTGGCATGATGTTTATTTACTTCCGGATGAAAATTCATAAATTTCAGCCGTTGGACGGTACCAGTACATGAGATTTTGGAAGTGTTCTTTTTGAGACCCTGTTGGAACCAGTTCCGGGTATCCAGATGTGGTCAAATCCACCTGTTTGTTTGAGACATGACATCTAGTTACTTCCTAATGAAAAATCATAAATTTTGAGCCATCGGATGCTCCAGTACATGAGGTTCGTCATGTCTTGTACACAACCCCAGCAATTTTATCAATCTCTTAACATTGTCATTTTAGAGAAATTGTTTAGAGCTTAATTATGGTATCCATGAAAAATATAAATTGATGGCTCTAAATGTTTTGTTTAAAACTTCATGAACTTGTTAAAATACACTAGATTATGCGATATTGACGATTTTTTTTGTCTATAAAAGAAGTCCTTTTAAATATTAGTTTCTCAGCACGAAGAAAATACACTTTCAGCAATCCAAATAAAATACAAACTGAAAAAAAAAATCCCTGAACAAATTTTACGATGGAGCAAAATTATAAATATAAGCACGAAAAACAATTTTCTAAGAGATGAAAAAATTTTCAACTATTTTTTCATGCTAACAAAATATATGGTTCACTGGTGTATATTTCAAAGTCGGACCCAAAGTTCCTTCTTTTGATAGTTGTAATCATTAAGCCACCCTCAAAATAGATGATTCTCCAAAACTATCATTTTTATAGTTGGAAATAATGAGATGTTAGATAGCAAAGTTGCAGCTGAAGAAATTTCAAGGAAATTTATGAATATAATTTTTAATGTAGACTACGTCTTACGGGAAGATACAGGGGGTTTGTCTGTATGCCTTTATTTTCAAAAGTCTGAAAATTGGTTTTTGAATATCAATGACCATCAAGAGGACCATCCTCTTGTTACGGTTACAGTTTACTGTTAAGAAAATTCATTTAACGATTTTTCAAAATAAGTTTAAATCTATCATGAAATTAAACAATGGTTCACAAGGTATGTCCAATCTGCTTTGTAATAAAAAAATCCAATTTGCAATAATCCAATAAAAAAACATTATTTTTGTTTTATCAAGTTTGTTCAAGACCTTAAATATTCTGGAATTATCCATTCATCAAAAAAAATAAATAAATAAAATTAAGTTATGCTCAAATGTATTCATAAAATCAACGTTTCAGTTGAACATTGCATAGAATCTTAAAACTATGATATTTCGTGAAACCCTCTATGGATGATTTTTATTTTCACAGATAATACGTTGGGTGACCAACTCTATCGACTAACATACACAGATTTGATGATTTTTTTTTCAATATAACGGTGACAAGGGCACCATGATATCATTTTAAATTTATTTTTTAGGTTTGAAACAAGCCTTGGAATGTGTTTGTCAGTACCAGGATCCCACAATTTCATCACAGTTAATCGACGAATGAATGTTACTTACGACCTAATCCATTGTTCGGCTTGAAACATAGTTATTTAAAAGGATGTTTCATTGCACTGTTTACCCTCAACCCCCTTCCCCCTCAAACATCACGGACGGCCGCAATTGAGTGCACCAAATAATTGAGCGCAATTGAAATCGAAAGCAAAATCACGCAGGAAAATTACCCTCCCAATTAGTTTGGCATCCCATTACTCCGTGTTCTCCCACGCATAATGTTGTCCCAAGAGAGTCAGTGCCAGGTATTTATCTCCTTTTTTCCCATCCATCACGGCGGTCGTATCGCCACAACAACGAAAGGAGAAATGCAACTGTGACGGATGATTATGTTTTCCATCGCACATTGTTATGCGTCGTTGTCGTTACAAGCCCTTCGTAGGGTGTCTGGCAAAATGTTTGTAAAGAAGGGCTAGAGGAAAGAGTATTTTTCGTTAAATTTAACTTGATTTGATGAGAAAAGGTCTCCCACTGAGCAAAGCCTGAGATCAAATTGAAATCTAAATTTGATGTTGCTAATAATGATGACGTTTTGGTCGTTTTAACGTTTAAAATATGAAAATTGAGAGCAAACTAATCTTTTTGCGTCATCAAATTGAAGGCTAACTTTGCTTACAGTGAGAGCAAACTGAAAACTCGATTTGATGTGGTTTTTTCCTGCTGATAGAATTGAATTTGATGTTCTCCCAAGGCTAAAAATCAAAAAATGATTATGATTTAAATTTGAAGTTGACATCCAACATTTGATTTCGATTTGCTAATATTTTCATGTTGGACTTTGCTCGGGATATCAATCATAGAGGAAAATGATCTGAAGTAAAATTTAATAAAACAGACATGTTCTGCTACACAATTCTCATGGCTAAATTTCTCAATAAACCAGCAACCCAGCATTACCTGATCCCCATCACTTGGACCCACCCTAGCACCCAATCAATCGTGTGACGTGATTGTTTCTGCACTCCTCCGTGAAAGAGAAAACTCCCCATTCAAACATGTTTTTCTTTATGCGTGTGATTTTTTCCTCCTCATGAAGTGTTGTGTAGGTGGGTAGATCATTGGTGGTGTGGTGATGTCAGTAAAAATAAACATTCTGCTGCATCCATCCTATAGTCCATACTTACTGGCATTGTGGACGGCGCCCAGTTCCGGATCCTGATCCTGCTGCTGGAAGTCCCGATCGATGCAGCAGGACCAGATCATCCCGCCGGAGCAGAGATCGATCGGTTTGCCACCACCCAGAACGCACGAAATCGATAGGCCACACTCGAACTTACGGCCCTTGTGCCGGCACGTCTGGGGGATCACTGTGGAACGAACAAGGTAAACAAAAATATATTAGCGTATGGAAAATCAAAGGCATGCGTGGTAAAAGGGCGAATCATTCGGTCGATTATGCGCGGGAATTGATCGGCTTTACGGGAGTGAAATGTGAGCAAACATTCAAATGGTGGCCAGTGAGTATGCCCGGTTATGTAGCCCGACCGTTTTTGTTTGGATTTGAAATGGGTACTTATTGGAGCCGAGTGGGCCCTAGTGACCCAGTATCTAGTGAGCTGGAAACACGTGTTCGTAATCGTTTATTCATGTTTGGTGAATGTTTACTTGTGTGTTTAAAGATAATTGGTCATAATCGAGTGCGAACACGTGTTTTGTGAGTAATCGACAGTTTTAACGAGGTTACGTAATCAAAGTGGAAGGTTGAAAATTTGCTAGTTGCGTACATCTAAGTGGTGCACAAAAATTAAGTCTCAGTAAGACTAGTGAAGCTGTTATCCAAGTGCAATAAAATGCAATCAGAAAATGAAATACAGTTAAAAAATAAAGTAAAAAAAATTAGATTTATCTATATGTACAAGACCTCAATGGAATATGCATTATCGTACTTTAATATATACTTTTTTTTCGAAATCGAGTAACGGTGCATCAGTAAATCAGAAATGAATCTAATTTTTTTCTGCTATCGGTAGAGTAAGGTGAGGCAAAGTTAGATTCAAGGATGTTGAAGAACTAATTTTTACTGAAACTAGGTTTTTCAACAGTTGTTTGAAAAATATACTAAAGACAGACTTTCTCCGTTAAAAAAACACACAAATTTTTAATGTTTTTTGAAATATTACAGGGTATTTAGGTGAAATATTTCAACTTCGTTCGAACTATGAAGGCATCCCAACTAACAATTCAGTAACCATTTGGCATCCACTCTGATTTATGATGGTTTTATAACGGCAATCAACAATCAATTTTTTTTTCCTTTGGTTTGTTTTCTGTCAATCTTGTTTTTCGTGCTGAGCACCAATGCTACCAACGCCAGGAAGGCAGCTCCCACACCTGGACCTTACCTATGGATCCATCAACTCATGAACTGGGGACCAACGGGTTTACTTCCCTTCCGAAGGAAGGCGTGATCAGAGATGTTATGCCTCAGAACATCCCGGTGGCGCCGACTGGGATTAAATCCAGGCCTGCTGGGATGAGAGGAAATTGCGCTTACCACTACACATCCAATTAGTTTAAATACAGCATTTCAAAGTGTTAAACATTCCTGCTTAGTAATTCAGATTTTTGCTGTTATAACCTTTTTTAGTATGGCAAGAAAGTCAAAAAGCGTCTTGTTTTAAAAATAAATTTAACAGGTCTCAATCCCTTCTTAAAACTGTGCTGTTATTCAAGCATAAACGTCATTAGCAATTGTTTATTAATGTCTTGATTAAATACTTTATAAACGTGTTCTATCATTATAAAAGCAACCATAAAACCATTAGGTTTTGCATTAGAGAAAAAAAATATTGTCGTATTTTACATATAAAAAAAAAGTTTTTTTGTATGGAAAATACGGTTCGAACGAAAACAAGAATATGGGTGATTGGCTCTGTTGTCTTGTGAATTTTAGCTATAACGGCCTCTTTTCTGATTTTTATCTCTCAATCTATGGAATCTACACGAAAATTATGTTTGAACGAAATTTCTAGAACAGTATAAGGAACATTATGCCGTGCATCAATAAAAAATCATGTACATTTCTGCAAGATATAGCGCACATAAAATTAACGCTAGATTTGGCACACATTTACGCGATAATTCGTGTAAATTTAAGCGCAATATCGCATAATTTAGCAATATTGTATGCAAGCTTGTAGTTTAGCTCAAAATTAAACGAAGGGAGATTTTACGCGATAGTTAAAATGCAGATTTTTTTTCTGTGTAGACTACACGTTTTCATATGGGTGGAAAGTGCGTAAAACAAATACTTTAAAATTCTTCAATTTTTAGGATATCTTTGAGCATGATACTAATTCAAACTTCAATAAAATCACTTTGAATAGTCAACCTCTAGTCACAAAGTTGGTAGAAAACACGTAAAGCTTTGCTATGAAGGTTGTTACAGCAGTTTTCGTTGTTTCAGTCTCGAGATACAAATATTATAAGTCGTAAATTACTTTAAAAACATAAAATTAACTTGAATTACCTCTAAATCATCACCGATTTTGCTGAAAATTTGCACAAAAGTTCAAATTAACATGACGAACAGTAATCACGGTTGACCCGGTGCATTCCGAACATTTCTGTTAAAATGAACAGGCAGGCATGGAAAATCATTTACATTCATTTCATGCATTCATTTACATTCATTTGGCTTTAATTTTTTTTCATCAACAGCATTCCGCAAAATGATGTATGGAGCTTTTGTAGGTTTTGTTATTAGCTTCAACTTTTTTCACAAAATCAAACATGTATCTCATATGCATCACGAATTAGAGCGGGCAGAACTCGTTACTGTTTTTCAGTGAATGTAAAATACATTCACTGAAAAACAGTAGTGGATTCTGTTTGCTCTGGTTCGTCATGCATAAGAGATACGGATTTGAGTTTTTAACAAAAGTTGTAGCTAATAACAAAACCTACAAAACCTACATACACTATTTTGCGGAATTCTGTTGATGAAAAAAGTTAGGGGCAAATGAATCTAAATGAATGCACGAAATGAATGCAAATGATTGTCCATGCCTGTGAACAGGTCTAGGGTGCATGGATTCAAGGTGGGCGGGGGCGCACATGCTGAATCAGTGAATAACCAGCAATGAATTTACCATGACAGCACTGGATACGTCAGTTTAAAACTGTACTGTTTGAATAGATGAAAGAACAAAATATGACAAATAAATAACATTAACGCATTAAGTGCAAAATATTGTAAACAAATTCCTATGAGATAACACTCAATACTTCAACAGAAAAATTAACTCTAATTTGAGTTCATCTATTAGAACTCAATAGATGAGTAAATTTTAACCAACGCCACTTGTCTGACAGAACCCAACGTTGAATTTTTTTAAACTTAATTTTGAGGTTTTATTTTTTCTTAACGCGTATATAATTTGATAACCCAAATTTAAAAAAATCTTAGCGTGTTGAAAGCTTGCTTCCTGTCAGTTGCAAATGTGATGTGTAAAAAGGGATGACATATATAATCCCCAGTACCCGGTTTTCTCAACAATTGCACCTAATGCAAAAATTCAATCGTACGGATACAGCAAGTATAACTTTCAAAGGGCGGGGCCAAAATTTAAACTAAAAGAACAGACAAACCAAATGTCCATGAAAATACTAATGCTTGTAAACTTAAAACAATTTTATTTCTCTTGAATGCTAAGAAAAATCTCCAACGCGTTTGGATTCAACAAGATCCATTATTTAAAATAAAAGACTAATTTAAAAAGGGCAGCGCTGGCAAACTTCATTTACAAGAAAATACGTACTTTTGTGGATTTAAACCCGGTTTTCTCAAAAACTATACTTGAGCAATTCCAGGTTAATTATCAAATCCATTAATTTTCGTTTTATTTTGGCTGATAATTTTCAGAAACGTTTCTCATGACCAAACATTCCATTATGCATTTTCAGATCACCATTTTAATTTAATTTCGAAAAGGGTCTATAGAAAAATGTTAAGCCTATCTTCAAAAAACCGTTACTTTAAAAAAAATTGTCTGATTGGTTTCGGCAATGTTGAACTTTTTGAAAAAAAATGCATTCTTAATTTTTTTTTAATTTAAATTTGTTCTTCTCTAAAAAAAAAAATTTGTTGTGTTTTTCTTTTCTTTTAAATGTTTCAGGGAATAATAAATGCTACCAACTGCACTTTAGGTCAATATGGAGAAGTGATGGGTAAAAAAGTTATGATTAAAAAAAAACTCAAGTTTTTGGAAAAAATATGCAAAACTTAGTTCAATTATAGGAGAATTGGCTCTAATGGTGGCCTATGGATCAAAGATTGGGCCCATCGCTAAAAATCTGCTATCAATTCTGATTTATCAATTTTATCTAGATGAACGCGTCATTGAGACGGTACTAATGGATATTTTGGGTCGCTATTGAAAATTTAGTCGGTTGCTGATTTTTTGTATGGGCCTCTATTTGGGGTATTTAGGCTGACATTACATCCATTTCCCCTACCAAATTTACAACAAAAAAGCCCTGACATACAATTTTGCACACCGTTTTTGAGGCGTAGCTATATGAACGTAGATTGTTTTTAAATATTAATAGTTTTTGTAAATTTTCGAATGTATTTCGCGGCTCTTTAGTTCCAACAACTTTTTTTTTTCTTCAAAAAATCGGGAAATCATCAATATGATTAGTGTCTTTTTAAATATATAAAAAAAAACAATGCGACCTTTTTCATGCACCACATCGGTCTAAACTTAGTGCTTAAATGCTAATATACTACTGTTCGCATATGTGAGCAGAGACACCTATACGTCAGTGGGCATCATCGATCATCAATCTCGCCATCAAACTACCACTCCCCGTTCATCAATTATGGGATCGACCGTGAAGCAGAACTGTGCGTTTATTGACGTTTGTGCAGTTCCGACTGTTCCTTCTCTTTCTTCCGTTAACTGACAGCTATAAAAGGAACCGCCGCAGCATAAATAAATCTTTTTGGTTGTTCTACCATCATATAGGCGGAGCCCTTATCATCAGTGCCGAGTGGTTGAGACGACAAAAATTGGACAGTGAGAATTTCATAAAGTACAAAGTGAAATTGAAGTAAATTTAAGTAAAGTTAATTAGTTTTAAAGTTAATGAAAATAAATTGAACTGTGAATTAAGAAGAAATAAGTGAAGATCCTCCGATATATTTATCTCCATCCGCTGTGGTTATCGACAACTACCTATTCCTAAGCAATTCATGATATCAAGCAGCACGGCTTGTCGTAAAAAAGTTGAAAATACTGTTAAATGATTCAGGTGAAGAATCAATAATACTTTAATATACATCACTTAATACATTTATACAACCTAAAAAGCGCAAGATGCGAAGTTTATAAAGCTAAAGACTGGTCTTATAACATGTCTTGGAAACATCATAACAACCTGCTGCAAAAAAAAAAACCCCGAATTTATCCACCTATGGTGTGATCAGACCCTTCTTACTTATTCAAGTTTATTTATTTTATTGTCATTATCAGTAACCAAGCCCCCCACCCCCGTGTCATCCAGTGACGCTACGCCACTGCCTGTGGGTACCCGGAGTATATCCGGGTGTAGTCTATTTGGTGAGGCTACCAATCACCTTATCATCGTATTTTAATGTAATTTAATGGGTTTTAATTCAATTAATATTCAAGCAACTTCCCCGGGGTACCCGGAACATGTCCAAGTATGTCCAATGTGGTCTGGAACACTTAACACGACTTGCATTGATCTTTATTTTTGAATTCTGTAGTAATTTGATGTGTCGCATGATGGTTTTGATACGTTTTCCTTTAAATCCAGCGTGAAGGCCCATATTCACCGGATCTTATTCCGGCCATATCTCCGGAACCGGTTCACTGATTCCAAAACCGTTCAATAACGTTCAATAGGACCCCAAGACCTATCATTTGGCGCCGAGTTTGTCCAAATCGGTTGAGCGGTTGCTGAGAAACGTGAGCGCATTCATTTCGTTACATACACACACACACATACACAGACATGTTCCGATCTCGTCGAGCTGAGTCGAATGGTATATGACACTCGGCCCTTCGGGCCTCGGATCGATAGTCGGTTTTTCAAGTGATATCTATACCCTTCTTTGTAAGAAGGGTAAAAAGAAAAATGAGCTTGGGATTCGAAAACTGGTCCTCAGCGTGGTAGACTTTTTACTTCCTAACTAGACCAACTCCACTTGATAAAAGTTCTATTATAAGTATCGATCATGTTCTTGCTAATGGCATTAAAATAAGATTCTCGTGCAACACGCCTTCGATTCATCATAAAGACGTTTTGTAAGCAGCAAAAGCGTAAATTTAAGTACCAGAGTGTTACTTAAAAGTATTTTCAACTCCTGCACCTTTTCAGTTTCAATAATTTATGAGATGTCTTAAAAAGGTGTTTTCAACTGTGTTTATATCAAACCTCCGAAAACCTCATAAGAAACTGTCAATCACTGCGTGAAGAGACAGTCATCTGGCTGGACGGCGTCAATGTCCACGCCAATTTGGAAAGTACAGAATCTCTTCAAGAACTTTATAAATTCAACTAAGATTTATTTTATATACGACAAGTTTTAAAGTGTTATTAAACAAGAAAGATGCACGTTTAAATAACATTTAAAATTAAAAAACAAAAGAAAACTATTTTGAAAAAATTTGAAATCTAGGAAGCATGAAGAGAACATATGCAAACCTCTTATAAAACGTGGGATGTTTTCTGCATCACTTATTAGACATTGATGCAACAAGCCTTTCTAATTATTTGTCATAAAGATGTTTTATGTGCAACTTGGGTAATAACCTATATCTCTATTTATGCCCAGTCTGACACGGAATCCACATTAGAATATACATCTCTGTGAATCTGTGACCTGCTTAAGTTCAGTAATTCAGAAGACGAAGTAGCAGTTAAAATACACACTTTTTATCAGCAAAATTTGCTCACAGAATCTCACGAAAAATAACATTCAGAAATTGATTGAGCTGGCTTTTGCGGAAGAGAACCAACCTAAGGTGTTTTGCTGAGAAATCCTTATTCTCGTAACCACTTCGAAGCTTTAAGTGCACAAATTTCAGCTTCCCCGAATCGTACCACATTGAAACTGTTACTTCACATTTTCTGTACTGCAGCATACATGAAGTAGCAATTTCAGGTGAAATGGGGCATTAATTTTCAAATTTGTGTAATTGAAAATTCGAAGTGGAAGTGCTTGCATAGTCTACGTGGCGGCCATTTGTGGGCTCTACAAAAAATCACCTTAACAGTAACATAAAAATTTGAGATTTTTGTCGCATACAGCTTTCTAAACGTATCGAACTATCAAGTAGCGATGAGTTATCGCCCCGAGTAGCACACTTCCATCACAATAAGTTACATCAACTTGTTTATGACTGGAATAAGTCGTATATAAGTTTCTACAATTGATTTGTGACAAGCGTGCTACTAGGACGAACTACGATGAACAAGATATCATCATGAATGTTCCAAGTCAAGAATCCTTTGTAAGTGTAACATCAGTGGCTTCGGTGGTGTAGTGGTAAGCGTGCTTGCCTCTCACCCCAGCAGACCTGGGTTCAATCCCAGTCGGCGCCGCCGGGATGTTCTGAGGCATAACATCTCTGATCACGCCTTACTTCGGAAAAGAAGTAAAGCCGCTGGTCTCCGGTTCATGAGTGGATTGGTCGATAGGGTAGGATCCATGTGTGGGAGCTGCCTCCCTGGCGTCCATAGCATTGGTGCTCAGCACGGAAAACAAGATCGACGGAAAACATATCAAGGAAAAGAAAAACTGTACCATCAGCAATATCGGCAGAGAGAATTAACTCTAGTATTAGCGAATTTACGCAAATTATGCTGTGCACAAATATCATAAAATTAACCAAAGAATAAAAAATAACACATATTTGCACTTAATACAAAAGCTAACTTAGATGATAGCAAAACTGAAGATTTTAATGAAATTATTGAATAGCTTTCAGAGAAGTTTTCTAAAGAAGACGGTTTTACCTAGATTATGGCCACTGTAGTAAATTATGGACACATTCAATAACCAGATATATGGCAACACAAGCAAAACAACTGTTAAACGATAAGGTGTGCACTCCGCTATTACTTCAAGTTTGCGCAGTGGATTGAGTGACGATACAAAGGAGCTTGTTTTGCAGTTTTTTGAAGACGATGAAACCAGCCGAGCAATGCCTGAGTAGTATGTGTAACAATAAGAAAATATGGCAAGCGTCAGTAAGTTCAAAAAAAGTTAATGACAACTGATTCAAAGAATTCAATAGTTATTTGCGCCATGATTCTGCATCTTTAAATTTATTTATTTCAAAAATAATTGCTTTTCCAAGTACAGATCAACAGTTAACTGTGAATAAAATGTATTTCATGTCGGACGGAGCTGCATCTCAGTATAGAAATTGGATAAACATTTCTAGTCGTTTCCAATTTAAGAATAGAAGTATAATGGCATTTCTTCGTAAAATCGCATGAAAAAATTCCATGAAATGCTATATTAGGAACACTAAAACGTATGGCTACTACAGCTAGCTTAACTAGAGAACGTGAATATTCAAAATGCAAAGGAATTATACGATTGGACTCTGCAGTGAAACAATCTGACACATATTTGTAATCAGCAAGCAAAATCCATTGAATTCAATGCAATGCTAAATCGATCAAACAACACATTTCACCTCTATCAGTGTATGTTCAATAGCCGTGCCATTTTGAACTGATGATTTTTGGAGGTCCCAATATTCCTTCCAGTGCAGTGTTCTCAGCTCTTTCTTAGAATTATAGTACTATTTATTCAAATATCTGAATGCGTTATTTCATATTCGATTTCATGATAGCACACCAGACGAATGTGAAATTGAGTTCCACGCATAAATTCATAAACCTGAAACATGAACACCGAGTGACCTACTAATAATCGCAATCATCAGAGCGATAGCGATACAGAATAAATGCTTTCGTACTTCTCCCTAAAAGATCCATAATTGAGTTAGATCCATAATCCAGCTGGCTCGTTCCGTACGATTGCCTTTTCCCCAGGGCGTCCAAAATCAGAATATCCTGCTCCTGCTGAGGCGATGGAGTCCTTTCTGTCAGCACCACTCCCACACAAAACAGCACCACCAGCGAAACGATCTGAGCCATTCCGGTTCCGCGAAACCGGGGACACTGAAGCACTCCCTTTCGTCTACGACCCCAAGCCGCACTATTGCGCAAGACCATCTTCTGGGAAATCTCCCTTTGCCACCACTTTATCACCAATCTCTTCACCGTTTTACCGCTCTTCATTGCCAAATTACGAAATCGTTTGCACCGCCGACACCAAAACACAATGCCCAGAAAACACCCACAAAAAAAAAAGCACGAGGAAGAAGAATCGACACGGTCTGGGCTTTCTTCTGTTTTCCACCCCCGAAAAAAAAGAGCAGCAACAGTATACTTCTCGCCTGGCTCGTTCGTTATGCAATTAGGTCATATTTTGCTGTTTCGGGTGTAAACTTTTTTCACTTTTCTTCACCTTTGTAATATTATACGTACAGGCGTGCCACACCGGGTCGAGTTTAGACTGAATACTTCTTGGCTGGCTGGGCTTACATTATCTTTTTATTAACCTGACTGAATGCACTCGAAAGAAAGCCATTAGCGGAGATTGCTTCTTATTTTTTTACACATCAACGTTCCAATCTTCGGCCGATGACGGAAGGGTCTTTTGGTCCGCAAGCAGTGGTCACAAAGACCGGGGAGACAATGAACCCACAAGGAAGGCCTAGGGCCCCTCGAATGCAACAAGTCGGGTTGATGAGAATTTTATCTTCTTTCTCCCGCCACTCGCACACACTCACTCACATACACTCGCACACCGCCACGGACAATTTCACTTTCGATACTGCCAGAAGAAACAGGGCTTTAAGCGCTCAAGGTCCGGAGCATGACCGCAGCAGCGCGGTACGGCCGACAGAAGACCGAGCAACGAACGGACTTTGCGGCGACAGGTTCCGGTTCTTTGTTTTCACGAGCAATCAGTTTTGCCAAGGGCACCTTTCTTTGAGCCACCAAGTAGACACCAACTCCCCCACTCAGCACAGCACCACCCCCCAGAGGGCGAGTTCGATGGCGCACACGCGATCCAATCCAACGACGATTACGACAACACGATGACACGATGGGCGAGAAGCGCACAAACGATCTCCTTGGCAGTTGATGGCAAACTGAGGCGCCTGGGTCCTACGTGGGGTCTTGGAAGTCTGCTTGTGGTGCTGCTGCTGCCGATGCCAGTAAGTCTCAGCCGTTTTGGACTCGTGGGGAGGCAAAACGAAACTTTGCTTTGCTACACAATAAAACCATGTGCGATGGAATAAGTGCAGCAATGAATGCGCGTACGGTGGCCGTTAGAGAAATTTGCTCGCTGCATTCGGAGCTGGCGGGCTTGCTGAGTGGATGGCAGGGATGAGGTTGCCAGATTGTTTATTATCCTAGATAAGGTTTGAAATCTTCCCAAATTGAGGTTTAGTTCTAAAACTTAATTTGTCTCATTAGGTTTCCATATAATAAAATAAACGAATTGAAAAATCCGAGAAATCGTCGATTTTAAATCTAGCAAGATTTCAGAAAATGAAAAATTTAAAGATAAATTAGTACTAACAACGCCTCTTCTATTTGAAATGATGTCTGAAGCAAAGTTGAAGCAATCAATATATCAAGGAAACAGGTAAAATTTTTAGTTTTACAATTCTTTATAACAGAAAACGATTACAATGGACTAAGGATAAGGTGGGATAATACCTGCTAAGGAGGTATTGAGAGGAATTCAAATATGACATTTTGAGAGACACCAATGAAAGAACAGGCGCACAAGTCTACATCAAATGCTAGTGGTTTGTGGTGAAATAATCAAGGTTCTGTAAGTATTATTGATTTATAGGGCAAAGGCTTCAAATTAGGAGGCACTACAGTAAAGCTTAAGGAGCAGTGTTGGGAATATTAAGCAATGAGTCCTTGTACTGTATGAAAAATTCGTTTAAATTTATGCGAAATATAACGCACACTTTGTTAACTCTAGGTTTCGCGTTTACACTCAGGTCTTTTTTTACACTGTGTAAAAGAAACCTACCAAGATTTTGATTTTACACAAACTTACATATTTAAAAAAAATATATTTTGATACCATTAAAAGCATGCTATGGTCCATATAGATTTATTTCAAAAAAAAAAAAAACTTTATTTACACCCACAATTGTGATTTTTTAAAGTATGCCTTTCGAATGCTTATCGCACATTTTTTTCTATTTGGTAGCTACTAACAGTGTACATTGTACAAAACAAACTGTCGTTACACACGTGATTTCTTATCCATAGTATGTGTCTTGGGGTCAATATGCAATATTTATTATTCATTCAAACGATTTTTATTTGATATTTTTACATGCTACAGTCTTCTGCCTTTAAGTTGAGAAAATTTTTATACATGTTTTGAAGGGTTTTAGAAATGAACTTAGCTTTATTTTTGAGGTACATACAAAGGGCTATCGCGATTGAGCACTTCAAATAAATTAAAAATTTTGTTCGTGACACTTTACGTTGAAATCAGATCACATTGCAAATACAGTCAACCCTCCCTTTCTCTAACACGATGAGAAACCCAGGCTATTTTGATCACATTTCCCTAAGAAAATTACAAAACTTACCACTGTAACTCGATATTCTCCTTAACTTGATGACCTCTTAAATGTCGATTGTCGACTTACTGTTATAATATTTAACTATCTTCCTCTCTTTCGGGTTCTATCATTCCTTATCTCTCGTTTCTTTTCTTTATATATCATTCTTTCTCATTATCATACACACGCTGCATCTTGCACCGCAAAGATGCTGATTGTGATATGTAGATCAATATGTAAGCAGAAGTCTATATGCGCGTTCATCGTTATGCCATATATCTCAAGAACGAGTAAAGATATCGTGAAATGGATGAATTTTTCGCCCCTCAGAATCACAAAGTCACGCTAAACACTTATAGATACATATGCTTTATTTGAAAATATTCATCGTTCAATAATTTGGCCTTCGATCTCTTGGCACACCTTTAAACGTAAACAAATAAAGCTTAATTTGTTGATATGCTACATGATAAGCCCCAACAATAATTTTCTATATGGGAAAACATTCCCTTTACAAAGAAGTTAAATGAACTGTAACTTTTCAGAATGAGCATCAACATTTCTAAAATCTTGACGGCCGGTCAATCAACTATTCATAATCTATGATTAGACACTGAAGAAGTTTGCAAGTAGGAAACGAAATGCGTATCTGTTATCGTTTATTTTTAAAGTGAAGTGAAAGTAAATAGTGCAAGTGAAAAATGGATTACTAAAAGTGAAAGCGCTACAATAGTAGTAGAATTAAAAGGAAAACAACGTAATAGGGTATACAATTATTTTACTAAAACACTCATCAATCAATTTAGATTATAATGGCAACCAAGCCATCAGAGTCAAATAGGTTTATGACACTTAGAAGAAACATTGCAACTTTTTATGATTTATCTGTATGTAGTTGAACTTGGTTGACTAAGTATGCTTGAAGTTTGAGCAGTTTTAGTTATGCGCTTCTGGCCTTTCTTAACTGATATTTCTTAAAGTTCAGCGAAGCGATTTAACAAACTTCTTTTTCACATTTTTAGTATAAACATTGATATTTGAAATGGTTTAAAATTAACTGACATACGTTCACGACGAAAAACATCTGCTCAAATGTAGGGTAAATTCATAACAAACATTTTTAATCTAAGACAGCATTTCTCAATCTATGCGTCGCGGCTAGCAATGGGCGATCTTGGATCAAAAACAAAAGATCGATTCTTTTGGTTCGATTAATCGATTTTTTGAATCGATCTCAAACACGATAAAAATCTATTGGATCGATCCTTTTCATTCGATTTTTGTTTCGATCCAACTTTTTTTTTTGCAGATTCTGCAATTTAATATTGATTTATTTTTGTCTTTGCCTTTTCACATCACAACCAATACAGTAGAAACATTCAATTCTTAGGACATATTTCAGGTTATTCAGTCATCTGCTGTGTCAGAACTGGATCGCCATGTGGGCATATCGGAAAAATTACAAAATGTCTTGCATCAGCCTGTTTTCCCACGGTCTGTCGATCCTGTCTGTCGAAACAGGGGAGAAAATCCGTAGTGTATATCCCCATGTATACCCCATTGTTCGACACTATTTATGAATAATGATAACAAGTGTTCCGTCAGAGAGGCCTTACTTTAAAACTGGTGAAACCACACAGTATCGATATTGGCTCAATTGCAAAACGCATGGCTCAATTAGCTTTCTTGGGATCCCTCTTGGATGAGTTTTGGGATATCTGAATTAAGAAAGTTTCCGTCATTACCTGTAAATATCTCGCTAAGCTCGCAGCACAGTTTGACACAAGATGATGTTAGCTTGCAGCCTGAAACAAGACACTCAATGGGAAATTAATTTGCATTCGGGTTATTCGCGAAAGAGAAAATCGATGAAGAGAATCGATCAACAATGATAGGCCCTTTTCTCGTGTTGTGCGAGATTTAATACCAATAAAACGAATATTATAGCCTGTTAAATCACTCACCTAATCAAGTATCCTGAGCAAAAACTTCCACATGTCAAATGAAATTAAAAAAGTCATTTACTATATTCTCATCATGATGTTATACTCACAACTTTTACTGCGTACTTACTACACAATTTATTTCAAAATGATATCAATCTTCACACTAAACTATTATAAGTAAAATGTCATAACAAGATAGCTTATGTAACGTAATATCTATATAATATAGCTTAGACTGATCTTAGCGTTAATATGCACCAACTTTCCAATGATCCGTTATATTTGAAACATGTTTGTGCCATTTTGAAAAATGAATCAATTCAAAAGATCGATTCAAAATGATTGATTAAATCGGTGAATTGATTATTAAAAAAAATCGATCCTCTAAGATCGATTTTTGCCTCAAGATCGCCCAATCCTAACTCGGGCTGCCTTCAGGTGGGTCGCAGAAATTCAGATAACTTTGGTCATTGGTTTATAAAACAGAATGCAGAATTTGTCTGATTTTCAAATCAAGCTAGGAGAATCAATTTCAAGGCCATTTTGACTTGTTTGAACCATTCTTGGCGTTTTTAGGGTCATTTTAACGTTTCATGATTACTTTGAGAGCTGTCATTTTCAGGCTGTTGTAGGCCAATTTGAGGTTATTTCAGTATTTTCGAAATTATAATGAGGGTGCTCAGGACGTTTTAAAATGCAAATTTTGGCGTTTTTAGTCCTTTTTCGCAATGTACAGCCTTTTTTGTATTTTTATGTTCAATCTGGCGTCGAGAAAAGGTTTTGAATCGTTTTTTTTACAACATTATGAGGTGGTTTTTGAATAAGTTTTTATACTGCATTACTGTTCTGCCCAAGTAACAATCTAAATGCTTGGAAGATTTATTCTTATTTTATCATTGTTTTATCATAGCATCCCTTCCAGCCTGTGGTTGTATTACGGTTTTGTGTGCTTGTCATAAAATCAGGCCATCAAGTCGTCTATAAAACAGTTTTATGACTACTAAATTAAAACTCAGACTTCATAGTTTTAACGGTAGCTGTAAGGTGGTTCTGCATCACTACTTATAACTGAAGAATAAAACCAAAACAAAACATACAATTATGTTTTATGGCACACTTTTTATGACCGATATAAAACTTGAAGCAGTCTAAGACCTTCATTAAAGCTTCATTACAACTATCATCTTTATCAGAGGCCTAAGATTCACAGATAAGAAATATACTGCTACAACAAAAAATACTCTGAAATTTTTTGTCATTATAAAAAAACAAATCTATTCAGATATATGAAATGAAAACCCCTTCAGTGCTGCTGAACACGATGAAGATGAGACGATCAACAATATGAAACTCCTGGAGAAACTACAGTTATAGGATCCTTACATAAGGCACAGTGCGGTGAACGAGCTCTTAAAAATATTGAACAAGCGGCTTTCCGATACACTTCCGAAAGATCCACGAACCCTTCTTAAAGCAACGCCGACAGTTTCACTAAATCCGTTTGGAGATGGCCAGTATTGGCATCACGGCTTTAAACCTTGTATTGAAAAAGCTTTTAGTGGATCCAATAAGCATTTCTTACATCTTGATTACAAGCGAAAATAGG